AGCGACTAAGAGAGAGAGACTGAGAGAGAGAGCGACTGAGAGTGTGAGAGACTGAGAGTGTGTGAGAGCGACGGAGAGAGTGTGGGAGCGACTGAGAGTGAGAGCGACAGAGTGTGAGAGTGACTGAGAGAGACAGAGTGTGTGAGAGCGACTGAGTGAGAGAGAGAGAGAGTGTGAGAGCGACTGAGTGAGAGAGAGAGAGAGTGTGAGAGCGACTGAGTGAGAGAGAGAGAGAGAGAGAGAGAGTGTGAGAGCGACTGAGAGAGAGAGAGAGAGTGTGAGAGCGACTGAGTGAGAGAGAGAGAGAGTGTGAGAGCCGAAAAGACCGTCGTGTTGTGACGGCCACTCAGCGCTGCGCTGACCAGCGATCTGCCGCTCCTCGTCCTCCTGCGGACACTGCAGCTCCGAGTCTGACTGACCAGGTCTTCCATCTGCGCCGGAAAGCGGAGGCGTCACATCGAACGAGTCCCCCCCCCCCCCCCCCTCCTCTCTCACACCCACACCCACACACAGAGAGAGAGAGAGAGAGGGACAGAGAGAGAGGGACAGAGAGAGAGAGACAGAGAGAGAGGGACAGAGAGAGAGAGGGACAGAGAGGGAGACAGAGAGAGAGAGAGAGAGAGGGACAGAGAGGGAGACAGAGAGACAGACAGAGAGACACCCACACACAGAGAGAGAGGGAGAGACAGAGAGAGAGGGACAGAGAGAGAGAGACAGAGAGAGAGAGACAGAGAGAGAGAGAGGGACAGAGAGAGAGAGGGACAGAGAGGAAGACAGAGAGAGAGGGACAGAGAGAGAGAGGGACAGAGAGGGAGGGACAGAGAGAGAGAGGGACAGAGAGGAACAGAGAGAGAGAGGGACAGAGAGAGGGACAGAGAGGGAGGGACAGAGAGAGAGAGAGAGAGAGGGAGGGAGAGAGAGAGGGAGAGAGAGAGAGGGACAGAGACAGAGAGAGAGGGACAGAGAGAGAGAGAGGGAGGGAGAGAGAGAGACAGAGAGACACCCACACACAGAGAGAGAGAGGGACAGAGACAGAGAGACAGACAGAGAGAGAGGGACAGAGAGAGAGAGGGAGGGAGAGAGAGAGACAGAGAGACACCCACACACAGAGAGAGAGAGAGAGACAGAGAGAGGAAGGGAAAGAGAGAGAGAGAGGGAGAGAGAGAGAGAGAGGGAGAGAGAGAGAGAGACAGAAAGACACCCACACACAGAGAGAGAGACAGAGAGAGGAAGGGAGAGAGAGGGACAGAGAGAGAGAGAGAGGGACAGAGAGAGAGGGAGAGACAGAGACACCCACACACAGAGAGAGAGAGAGACAGAGAGAGGAAGGGAGAGAGAGGGACAGAGAGAGAGAGAGAGAGACAGAGAGAGAGAGAGAGAGGGAGAGAGAGAGAGAGGGAGAGAGAGAGACAGAGAGACACCCACACACAGAGAGAGAGAGGGACAGAGACAGAGAGACAGACAGAGAGAGAGGGACAGAGAGAGAGAGGGAGAGAGAGAGAGAGACAGAGAGACACCCACACAGACAGAGAGAGAGGGACAGAGAGAGAGAGGGAGAGAGAGAGAGAGACAGAGAGACACCCACACAGAGAGAGAGAGAGAGAGAGGGAGAGAGAGAGACAGAGAGACACCCACACACAGAGAGAGAGAGAGACAGAGAGAGGAAGGGAAAGAGAGAGAGAGAGGGAGAGAGAGAGGGAGAGAGAGAGAGAGACAGAAAGACACCCACACAGAGAGAGAGAGAGGGACAGAGAGAGAGGGAGAGAGAGAGAGGGAGAGAGAGAGAGAGAGAGACAGAGACACCCACACACAGAGAGAGAGACAGAGAGAGGAAGGGAGAGAGAGGACAGAGAGAGAGAGAGAGAGAGAGGGACAGAGAGAGAGAGAGACAGAGCGAGGGAGGGAGGGAGAGAGAGAGAGACAGAGAGAGAGGGACAGAGAGAGAGAGGGACAGAGAGAGAGAGAGGGGGAGACAGAGAGAGAGAGAGAGAGAGACAGGGAGAGAGACAGAGGGACAGAGAGGGAGACAGAGAGACAGACAGAGAGAGAGAGAGAAAGGGACAGAGAGAGAGACAGAGAGAGGGTGTGAGAGAGTGAGAGCGACTGAGAGTGTGAGAGCGACTGAGTGTGTGAGAGCGACTGAGACAGTGTGTGAGAGCGACTAAGAGATGAGAGCGACTGAGAGTGTGAGAGGACTGAGTGTGTGAGCGACTGAGAGTGAGAGCGACTGAGTATGAGAGCGACGGAGAGAGTGTGAGAGCGACGGAGAGAGAGTGTGAGAGCGACGGAGAGAGTGTGAGAGCGACTGAGTGTGAGAGCAACGGAGAGAGAGAGCGACGGAGTGTGAGCGACGGAGAGAGTGACAGAGTGAGAGCGACTGAGTGTGAGAGCGACTGAGAGAGAGAGAGAGAGTGTGAGAGCGACTGAGAGAGAGAGAGAGTGTGTGAGAGCGACTGAGAGAGAGAGAGTGTGAGAGCGACTGAGAGAGAGAGAGAGAGAGAGAGAGTGTGAGAGCGACTGAGAGAGAGAGAGAGAGTGTGAGAGCCGAAAAGACCGTCGTGTTGTGACGGCCACTCAGCGCTGCGCTGACCAGCGATCTGCCGCTCCTCGTCCTCCTGCGAACACTGCAGCTCCGAGTCTGACTGACCAGGTCTTCCATCTGC